AGGACAAGGAATGCGTCGGGTTCGCCACGCTCCCCAACCGGCTGCACCGCAAATCTGTGAAGAAAGGATTTGACTTTACTCTGATGGTGGCAGGTAAAGGGTTAAACCCCCGTTGCCCCTCCAGCCCCCTGCTCTCCTGCTTGAACCCCCCTTTCTCCCAGGGCCGCGCAGAGAACCCAGGTGTCCTGGCCCCGCCCCCTGCTCTAACCCTTCAGCCCCTCTCCTGCTTGAACCCCCCTTTCTCCCAGGGCCGCGCAGAGAACCCAGGAGTCCTGGCCCCGCCCCCTGCTCTAACCCTTCAGCCCCTCTCCTGCTTGAACCCCCCTTTCTCCCAGGGCCGCGCAGAGAACCCAGGAGTCCTGGCCCCGCCCCCTGCTCTAACCCTTCAGCCCCTCTCCTGCTTGAACCCCCCTTTCTCCCAGGGCCGCGCAGAGAACCCAGGAGTCCTGGCCCCGCCCCCTGCTCTAACCCTTCAGCCCCTCTCCTGCTTGAACCCCCCTTTCTCCCAGGGCCGCGCAGAGAACCCAGGAGTCCTGGCCCCGCCCCCTGCTCTAACCCTTCAGCCCCTCTCCTGCTTGAACCCCCCTTTCTCCCAGGGCCGCGCAGAGAACCCAGGAGTCCTGGCCCCGCCCCCTGCTCTAACCCTTCAGCCCCTCTCCTGCTTGAACCCCCCTTTCTCCCAGGGCCGCGCAGAGAACCCAGGAGTCCTGGCCCCGCCCCCTGCTCTAACCCTTCAGCCCCTCTCCTGCTTGAACCCCCCTTTCTCCCAGGGCCGCGCAGAGAACCCAGGAGTCCTGGCCCCGCCCCCTGCTCTAACCCTTCAGCCCCTCTCCTGCTTGAACCCCCCTTTCTCCCAGGGCCGCGCAGAGAACCCAGGAGTCCTGGCCCCGCCCCCTGCTCTAACCCTTCAGCCCCTCTCCTGCTTGAACCCCCCTTTCTCCCAGGGCCGCGCAGAGAACCCAGGAGTCCTGGCCCCGCCCCCTGCTCTAACCCTTCAGCCCCTCTCCTGCTTGAACCCCCCTTTCTCCCAGGGCCGCGCAGAGAACCCAGGAGTCCTGGCCCCGCCCCCTGCTCTAACCCTTCAGCCCCTCTCCTGCTTGAACCCCCCTTTCTCCCAGGGCCGCGCAGAGAACCCAGGAGTCCTGGCCCCGCCCCCTGCTCTAACCCTTCAGCCCCTCTCCTGCTTGAACCCCCCTTTCTCCCAGGGCCGCGCAGAGAACCCAGGAGTCCTGGCCCCGCCCCCTGCTCTAACCCTTCAGCCCCTCTCCTGCTTGAACCCCCCTTTCTCCCAGGGCCGCGCAGAGAACCCAGGAGTCCTGGCCCCGCCCCCTGCTCTAACCCTTCAGCCCCTCTCCTGCTTGAACCCCCCTTTCTCCCAGGGCCGCGCAGAGAACCCAGGAGTCCTGGCCCCGCCCCCTGCTCTAACCCTTCAGCCCCTCTCCTGCTTGAACCCCCCTTTCTCCCAGGGCCGCGCAGAGAACCCAGGAGTCCTGGCCCCGCCCCCTGCTCTAACCCTTCAGCCCCTCTCCTGCTTGAACCCCCCTTTCTCCCAGGGCCGCGCAGAGAACCCAGGAGTCCTGGCCCCGCCCCCTGCTCTAACCCTTCAGCCCCTCTCCTGCTTGAACCCCCCTTTCTCCCAGGGCCGCGCAGAGAACCCAGGAGTCCTGGCCCCGCCCCCTGCTCTAACCCTTCAGCCCCTCTCCTGCTTGAACCCCCCTTTCTCCCAGGGCCGCGCAGAGAACCCAGGAGTCCTGGCCCCGCCCCCTGCTCTAACCCTTCAGCCCCTCTCCTGCTTGAACCCCCCTTTCTCCCAGGGCCGCGCAGAGAACCCAGGAGTCCTGGCCCCGCCCCCTGCTCTAACCCTTCAGCCCCTCTCCTGCTTGAACCCCCCTTTCTCCCAGGGCCGCGCAGAGAACCCAGGAGTCCTGGCCCCGCCCCCTGCTCTAACCCTTCAGCCCCTCTCCTGCTTGAACCCCCCTTTCTCCCAGGGCCGCGCAGAGAACCCAGGAGTCCTGGCCCCGCCCCCTGCTCTAACCCTTCAGCCCCTCTCCTGCTTGAACCCCCCTTTCTCCCAGGGCCGCGCAGAGAACCCAGGAGTCCTGGCCCCGCCCCCTGCTCTAACCCTTCAGCCCCTCTCCTGCTTGAACCCCCCTTTCTCCCAGGGCCGCGCAGAGAACCCAGGAGTCCTGGCCCCGCCCCCTGCTCTAACCCTTCAGCCCCTCTCCTGCTTGAACCCCCCTTTCTCCCAGGGCCGCGCAGAGAACCCAGGAGTCCTGGCCCCGCCCCCTGCTCTAACCCTTCAGCCCCTCTCCTGCTTGAACCCCCCTTTCTCCCAGGGCCGCGCAGAGAACCCAGGAGTCCTGGCCCCGCCCCCTGCTCTAACCCTTCAGCCCCTCTCCTGCTTGAACCCCCCTTTCTCCCAGGGCCGCGCAGAGAACCCAGGAGTCCTGGCCCCGCCCCCTGCTCTAACCCTTCAGCCCCTCTCCTGCTTGAACCCCCCTTTCTCCCAGGGCCGCGCAGAGAACCCAGGAGTCCTGGCCCCGCCCCCTGCTCTAACCCTTCAGCCCCTCTCCTGCTTGAACCCCCCTTTCTCCCAGGGCCGCGCAGAGAACCCAGGAGTCCTGGCCCCGCCCCCTGCTCTAACCCTTCAGCCCCTCTCCTGCTTGAACCCCCCTTTCTCCCAGGGCCGCGCAGAGAACCCAGGAGTCCTGGCCCCGCCCCCTGCTCTAACCCTTCAGCCCCTCTCCTGCTTGAACCCCCCTTTCTCCCAGGGCCGCGCAGAGAACCCAGGAGTCCTGGCCCCGCCCCCTGCTCTAACCCTTCAGCCCGACTCCCCTCCCAGAGCTGGGCAGAGAACCCAGGCCTCCTGGCTCACCTCCCGCCCCTGCCTGCAGGGGAGTCTGGGCTGGGGAAATCGACCCTGATCGACAGCCTGTTCCTGACGGATCTGTACAAGGATCGGAGCCTGCTGGATGCTCAGGGTGAGCGGGAGGGGGGAGGGGGGATCTCTGCTCTAACCCTTCAGCCCGACTCCCCTCCCAGAGCTGGGCAGAGAACCCAGGCCTCCTGGCTCACCTCCCGCCCCTGCCTGCAGGGGAGTCTGGGCTGGGGAAATCGACCCTGATCGACAGCCTGTTCCTGACGGATCTGTACAAGGATCGGAGCCTGCTGGATGCTCAGGGTGAGCGGGAGGGGGGAGGGGGGATCTTGGGGTGCGGGGGGTGTGGGCTGGACGGGGCAGGACACGGCGGGCAGGGTGGGATCTAGGGGTGTGCTGGCCGTCGGGGGTGGAGCAGGATCTGGGGGTATCGGGGTTAGGGCAGGCCCCCCCCGGCCTGCGCTGACCCCGTCTCCCCAGCCCGTGTGCCGCGGACCCTGGCGATCGAGCGGCGAGCGGTGGAGCTGGAGGAAGGCGGCGTGAGGGTCAAACTCACCGTGGTGGACACCCCAGGCTTTGGGGATGCTGTGGACAACGCTGACTGGTGAGGGGGGGCACCCCTGCGCAGGCTGGTCCATAGCAAATTGTATTGACTGGGCAGGGAATGCAGGGGGGGAGCAGTGCATTGTGGGATACAGTCCCTAAGCCCCACCCCTTTCCCTTCCCCAGCTGGGTCCCATAGAGGGCTATATGGACCAGCAGGGATGTGGGGGGTGGCCTAGCAGGATTCCTGAGAGGGTGGGGAAATGGGGGGTTTGATCAGAGCTGTGCATTGTGGGATACGGGCTCTAACCCCTCTCCTGGGCTGGTCCCTGCTGGGGGCCCATACTGAACTGTATGGACCAGCAGGGATCCTAGGGCAGTTAGGGGAGGGAGGGTGTATCTGAGGAGTTGGAGGGGAGTCTGTCAGAGTGGTGCATTGTGGGACACAGGCTCCAATCCCTGTGGTCCCAATGGGGGGGCCCAGGCCAGACTATATGGACCAGCGGGGATTGGAGAGATGGAGGGGGGTTGGTTGAGCAGTGCATTGTGGGAGACCTTCACTAATCTCTGCCCATTCTCTGCTCCCCTGGGCCGGTCCCAGCTGGGTTCCCATAGGGAGTCTGTCAGAGTGGTGCATTGTGGGACACAGGCTCCAATCCCTGTGGTCCCAATGGGGGGGCCCAGGCCAGACTATATGGACCAGCGGGGATTGGAGAGATGGAGGGGGGTTGGTTGAGCAGTGCATTGTGGGAGACCTTCACTAATCTCTGCCCATTCTCTGCTCCCCTGGGCCGGTCCCAGCTGGGTTCCCATAGTGGACTATATTGACCAGCAGTTTGAGCAGTTCTTCCGGGACGAGAGCGG